GTTATCTTTTGATGAGCCGGTTTTCTTGTTTTTCTGCCTAAAAACGTATCTAGACACAATTTACATTAGTGGTTCAATTTGACTCATTTGAACATATCTATACACAATTTACATTAACAGTTCAATTAGACTCATTTGAACGTATCTAGATACAATTTACATTAACAATTCAATTATACTCATTTGATTGATCACTATTAAATAATGTGGTTTTTCCGACAGCAAAATCCGTCGAAAATCCGTCGGAAAAACAACTATCCGATGGATATTACCGTCGGAAAAACCTCCGTCTCTAAATGCAAATTCCGTCTGAAATCTGTCGGTAATGTTCAAAGAAGTTTTATTTATATTTTTTTCCTTCCAAAAATAAATATTTAAAAGAAAAAATTTCCGATGAATAATAATTTTTATAATAAAAAATTATATTCCGTCGGAATTTATTAAAAAAAGTTTTTTATTTTTTTCTTATAAAACATATATTTTTTTAAATAAATTCCGACTACAACTTTTTATTAGAAACTTACAATCCGTCGGATTTTTTTTAACATATTTTTTGAAAGGGAAAGAATAAAAAGAGTTTTCTTTAACATTTTCGACGGAGTGTAATTAAATATTAAAATCAATTAAAATCCGTCGTAAATTTTAATTAATTAACGCTAATTAATTTATTTAAATAAATTAGACCAATTTTGTGACGGATTTCTGACGGATTTGTGGCAGTATTAAATAAGTAAACAAAATTTGTTACAAATCCGTCGGGAAAGTTGTAGAAATAAAATTTATTTTATTTTTAAATTCAGTGACGGATTTGTAGGAGATTTGTGGCGGACGTCGACAAAAGTTGACTTTTCTTGATTATATAGAGCTCTGAAGTATGAAGAGTTTTACTTTAGAGTTATTTTAGGAGTACAAGTCCAAGTCTGAAGTCATTATTCAGAGTTATATTTAAGAGTTATTTCAAAAGTACAAGTCTGAAGAGTCGTTCTAAATTTACTGCTAAGTTTAAATTCAACTTACTAATATAGTTTCAAATTTAAATTTAATTTTATTCTAGACTTAACTTTATTTTAACTAATTATTAATATAATTTCATTTCTAAATTTAAGTCTGAAGAGTCATTTTTCAGAGTTATTCTTCAGAATCATTTCAAGAGTACAAGTCTGAAGTAGCATCATATTTTCGATGATTATTCATATCTGTAAGATAAATTCTTGACATGATTTAATTTTTTCATATTACTTCGTGTAATACACGGGATCGAACCTAATATATATATAGGGTCAGGTTCAAATGTTAACCAAAGTTTTTGTGTTAACTTTGTTAACCGATCTTGACCATTCAATCTTTCAATAAACGGTTGTGATTAATCATGATAAAAACTTATTATTTTTAATTTAAAATTTCATAAAGATAAATGAACAAAGTTGAAAAGGGTATTTAGGTAAAAAAAAATTATGTAACTCTCATATCATTAATTAATTGGGAGTTACAATATAAAACATTCTATGATTTTTTTGTTAATTTATTTTTGTTAATGTAAGAACCATATGAACATAACTATATATATATATATATATATATATATAACCATTGTGTCAAATGCGAACAAAAATTTGACATATATATGAACTTGGACTGCATAGCATTTATGAACACAATATGAACATAATAAGAAAAACTGTTATACGAAAAGAAATAAGTAAAAAAACATGTATGAACACGATATGAACAGATTGTAAACAATAGTTCCTTCATTATAAACGCATTTAGGAGCGATCATTTGTCAATTGGAGTTTTATACATGCATTGCATCCACACCGTTTAAGGTTCACCCCTTGTTCATATATGTTTCTGATCTTATATGGTTGTTCACC